CTCTCTGTGATTTATGAAAATATTCCAAATTAAAGGAATTTGCATTTCCTTTAACATTGTTTTCTCTATAGCCACACCCTTTTTTTTTTATATGATCTTTTGGTTTATATCAAACCCTATAATACAGTCAACATACTGAAATGGCCCTGACCGGTTTGGCTCAGTGGATAGAGCGTCGGTCTGTGGACTGAAGGATCCCGGGTTTGATTCCGGTCAAGGGCATGTACCTTGGTTGCGGGCACATCCCCAGTAGGGGGTGTGCAGTAGGCAGCTGATCGATGTTTCTCTCATCGATGTTTCTAACTCTCTATCCTCTCCCTCTGTAAAAAAATCAATAAAATGTATTTTTAAAAAAACATACTGAAATGCCTTGCATTTCTTTCTCTTCTAATTTTTTGAGAAAAAATATTAAAGATTATGGTTCAAAATTCTGCATTATTTGAGCTTCTGTGTACTATGTATTGTTCAGTCTTCAAGTTTGGGGAAAAAGTGGATCAACTGAAATTCCTAAATACAAAATTAATAAAGACTCATTGGTTCACCCTAAGAACTCAGAATGAGAATAGGACTAGTGTTACACTTTCAATGAGATCTTTTAAGTTTCCAATATGTCTAACATTGAAGTATGTCAGTACTTCAATATAAAGTCCTTGGATAAAAGTTGGTATACTAGCCCATAAAATTAATTATAAAACATACACATGTAAGAATAAATGTTTGATTCCTGAAGACAGCAGAAAAATGCTCAAAGACTACTGACTTCCCTACCCTGGCTGGTGGTGCAGTGGTTAGAGCATCAGCCCATGCACTGAAGGGTCTCATGTTCAATTCCCAGTCAAGGGCACATACCTGGGTTTTAGGAGGCAACCTGTGGATCAATGTTTCTTCTCTCTTTCACTCTCTCTGAAAAGCAATGGGAAAAATATCCTCAAGCAAGTATTTAAAGAAAAAAGACTATTGACTTTTTTTTTAATATATTTTATTGATTTTAGAGAGGAAGGGAGAGGGAGATAGAAACATCAATGATGAGAATCATTGATGAGAATCACTGCCTCCTGCACGCCCCCTACTGGGGATTGAGCCTGCAACCCAGGCATGTGCCCTTGGCCAGAATCGAACCTGGGACCCTTCAGTCCACAGGCCGACGCTCTATCCATTGAGCCAAACCAGCTAGGGCAGACTATTGACTTTCTTATTTGATTTGCCAACTCCTATATATGTAAGAATTACAGAAACAAGGCACAGAACTGGTTTCCATCTCCAAACTTGCCCAATTTATAAAGAAACCCAAAGAAAGAAAATAGACCCTTCCTTAGTGAGTTATTAACAGCTGAGTTAGAAGTCAGTGGGCTTTTTGGCAAAGAAAGGGGAATGGTAAAAATGTAGGTAGGTTTATTTGTCTAAAGAGATTAATTGGCAATTGCTGGACAATTACAATTCTATAAGTTTATAAATAGTAACAATAAATACATTTTAAGTAATGTACATATTTTACCTAATTTAATCTTCCTAACAATCCTATCAAGTAACTACCATTATCAGCCGGTGAGGAAATTAGGCACAAATTGGTTAATTGCCTAAAGTCACTATTAAGTAACCAAGCTGAGATTCAAAGTAATCTGGTTTCAGAGTCCATGTTTTTTTATTTTAGAGAGAAACATCTATTTGTTGTCCCTTTTATTTATGCATTCATTGGCTGCTTCTTATATGTGCTCTGACCGGGGGTCAAACCCAAAACCTTGGTTTAAACAAGTCCACGCTCTAACCAACCAAGTTACCTGTCCAGGGCCCATAGTCCGTGTTCTTAATCACTCCACAATGTTGCCTCTCCCATCTGAAGAGAATTTCAGAATTTCTCATTCCTGGTAAACTCCACTATCTCATTTCATCCTAATTCACTAATCCTAATTCTCACTTCGTTATGGTAAAGATTTTGAAAATTTTAAAGTAGCTTTCAGAGCATTTTAAATGTTCACTGCTTCCTTAAAAGGCAGCCACAATTGTCTTAAAGCCATAGGTCCAACAAATAGTGTTAACCGGTTCAGGTAATATACTGTATTTGTTGAGTCCTTTTGTAGGGCTGACAGAGTATGGGAGTCAGGGCCTTTTCATTAGCAAAACACTGATTTTACATTCTACTTTTTAAGAATATTACCGGGCCCTGTAGTATTCTACCAGGTAGCTCAGTTGGTTAGAGCATCATCCTGATATGTCAGGGTTGCAGGTTCTATCCCTGGTCAGGGCACATACAAGATTCAAACCGTGAATGCATAAATAAGTGTAACAACAAATCAATGTTTCTTGATAATATTCTAATAACTATGTATGGTGTCATGGGTGCTAAATTTATCGAGATGATCACTTAGTAAACTATGTAATGTCTGATCACTGGGGTGTACACCTGAAACTAATATAATGTATGTCAACTGTAATTAAAAATAAAATTTTAAAAATCAGTGTTTTTCTCTCCTTCTCTAAAAAAATAAGAATACTACTGTATGGGTACCTAATGTGGGGTGCTGGACCCAAATGGATGAGTTTCAGGATATGTAATAATAGGCGCCTAAAATATCAGGCAAAAAGAATTGTATATATGACTTCAACATCAGTCAAAATTGTGTATTCCAAAAATAAAATAAGGGTTAACCTGTAGGTCACTGCTGGTACCTTACAATGGTGTGAATACAACCTCTGTAGCATTCTATATTATTTAAAACCTCTTATTTTCCTGCATTATTTAAGAAAGGAAAAGCAAAAGTCGAAATAATAACGCTGCACTATTTGCAGGGGTAGGTTGCTTCTCTCATGGCATTTACCCTTCCTTCACCGGTCCAGACGCTTCAACCTGGGGGACGGAAGGGGTCGGCTATCTCCGGACCACGTGGCTCGGAGCAGACAGCTCCCGGCAGGCCTGCGCGTCCCAGCTCTGAATCCTTATCCTTATTTAGACTCGTCACCACCCCTGTTGGGAACAGACAGGCCGCCGCGGACGGGTCATTAGTGAGAGGAAGTGACTGGCTGCAGCTCCTGACCCGGACGCGATCTCTAGTCCCGCCCCCTCCGCCTGGCTTCCTCCTGCAACAGGCGTGGGTCACGCTGTCGCTCGCTCTCTTTCTGCCGCCATCTTGGTTCCGCGTTCCCCGCACAGTAAGTTGTGTCCTCGCTGTTACTCTATCCGCAACCATCCGCCTTTCTTGCGGCCTAAGCCACCCCGGGGGACTGAGACCTAAAGAGAGTCAGGGGCTTTATGTGGGCCCCCCCCGGTTCCTACTCGACCCTGGGAATTGTGGCTTTGGTGTCTCCGGACAAAATGGGGTCCGCGATTGGTGTCCTGGCAAAAGCAGGGCAGGAGGGCCGCGGGCCGCGCTGTTAGTCCGGGGCTGGCGTGGTGGGAGCCTTTGCGGTGTTGGGGGCGGAGGCGAAGTGTGTCTGCTGTTGGGAACGGCTTCAGGATCACCCGTAGGAGGTGAAGGGGTCACGGCCTTGGAAGTCCGCCCCCTCCCCCTCCCCCTCCGCGCACACACACACACGTCGTTCTTATTGTGACGAGTGTTTGGGGCTAAGGCTCCCTCTTTTCCCTCTTGATTCCCGAAAGTCGGCCCACGGAGACCGGGAGGTCCAGCCCGGGCGGCGTGAACGGGGGGAGGGAGGTGGTTCATAGTAGCGTCTGCCGTGCCTCGCGGCCGGAGCCTCCCTCTCGGGGTGCGAACGCAGTGCCGATGGCCGTCGTGTGGGGAGTGGGGTTGGAAACGGGGAATCACACGAGCCGCGGGGGGCCGGGAAGGCCGCCCTCTGCGGAGTGGAGCGGAGCGGGGAAGAAGGGGCGACTCGCCGGGTTAGCGATGTGCGGGTCACGTCACGCTTCTCGGCTCTTGCCAGCTTCCTGGGGAGGGTTGTCCCCAAACACCCTCGTGATGATTTTGCGCCACGGTTTTCTGCAGTTTTTGAAAAATACCTGCCTCTGGGTTGGGGGCAGCAGACCGGTCCCGGTCAGTTCAGGCCTCCTTTTTATTTCCTTCAGAAATGCCCGGCGAAGCCACAGAAACCGTCCCTGCTACGGAGCAGGAGCTGCCACAGCCCCAGGCTGAGACAGGTAGGACCCCCTAGTCCCCGCGCCGATGACTGACTGAGATGGTGAGATGGACCCTAAAGCCATTCGGGGGGTGCAGCGACAAAGAGAATGCCCTTCTGTCTTTCAGAGTTGTCTCTCGTTAGAGACGGTGAGGCTGTAGCTCTGTCGGGGATGAGCGTCCAGGATATTAACTGCTGTCCTTGGAGGGACTTCGTTTGGGAGTGGGGTGAAAACCGTACATTTAAGATTCAAGAACGTGGGAAGCTCCCTGGCCTGTTTTGTAGGCGGGGCCACTGCCTCCAAGGGAGCTTGCAAAGCTGGGCTGGGCAGGGGCTCGGTGATTCTTTCCCATTTGAACTGGATGACACACTGGCAGGCCAAGGAGACCTGAGCTTTTTCTAAGAAGGTCCAGCCAGCAAGTTGCATCAAGGTTTTAGATGGCAGAGCTTGGCATTGTGCCCTCATCACGTGTCTGATGAGATGTGTGCTGTGGTAAATGTGTCCTGGGACCAAGGACCCTCTTGGTCGGTTTACTTGTTTTATGGATTGGTGATGAGATGTCCAACAGCTTGTCTGGAACCCAGAATTGAATTAAAGCTTCCCTTTGACTATTTTTCAGCTTTGAAATTAATGAGTGTAGAACATGGTGTAAAGGCAAGTTTTGAAGTCTGGTTAAAGTGCTTCTCTATAAAACTTGAGAAAGGGATTAGTGAAACTACTTTTTTAATGAAGATCTTGCTGAGTTGTGCAAAACTAAATGAAGGGAATCTTCAGGGTGTAATCTTTTTTTTTTTCTTCTTATAGTAAATTAGTTTTTTTTTTTTAACTGCACCTGTCACTTAAGAACAATTCCCGTCTTCTGGAATTAAAATAGAGTTGTTTATAGTTGAAAGTGTTAAAGTCCGCCCTCTCCACCTGTCTGATTTCAGCAGCTGAAGGGATTAATACAGCTGCTGGTAAAGAAAAGGGAGGGCGTCCCTGAGTTTGGGAATGAGCTATGTGAAATCTTTGAACTATAGGGGACTAAAGGGCTGCTCTCTAAAGATCCTGTAATTCGGTGCTAAATAAAAATGCTCAGGTCTCGTTGAACAACTTGATTTTACAAATGTAGAGAGTGAAATTCAGATGAATTTCGAATAATTTGGTTTCAAGCTTCAAAGGGAATGCCATTAAATAGAGTACCTGAGAAAACTATCTCAGGAAATAGGTTATGGTGTCTAAACCAAGTAATTTGGTCCTTATCCCATCAGAGGAAAACATTCTAAGTTTCAAATTATGATTATGTTAGAAAGCATTGCATTTTAATCATAAGACTTTTACCTACCAACCCTCCAAGAAAAACTGGTTGAGCTGCCTGTCTTTTCTGTGCTACAATACTTTAAGAAAATTGTGAATTTGCATGCTACAGGCTTTTTTGTTTTGTTTTATTTTAAATATTCCCTTCAAAGTGTTGAGCATTTGTTATTCTACTCCTGTGTTACCTCCTGAATAATAAGCATGGATTTTTCTGTCATTCAGAATATCTTGCTTAGCTTTACTCTAGTGCCAGATACTGGTCTATTTTGACAGAATGACATACTTATCCACATTAAGGGGTGGAGATCCAATGTATTCTCTCCACTGCAATTCCCTACTTCCAAAATAGAACCGCAGTCTGGCTTAACCAGTTGGGTTACAGTATTATAATACAGTCCCTACCTTGTGACTAAGCTCTCTCCCTGGCAGTCTAATTCATCTGAGATTGATGTTTGGAGGTAACATTACCTGGGAAGGTCTGTAGACTATGGAATACAACTCACTTGTTTTGTTGGTTTGTTTGTTTGTTTGTTTGTTTTGGGTAAGTAAGCTGAAGCACAGGGAGGCTTAGTGACTGATTTAATAGTTTAGTATTAAATTCTGAAGCGTTTCAACTTTATGAAGAATTGAATTCTGCCAGACACCCACTTCTTTAAGCCTTATTCAGAGAGTCAGGCTTTTCCTGGCCTGGTGGTAACCTGAGCATATAAAGACCTGGTTTTGTCTCATTCCTCATCATCACCAACACTCACTACCTTCCTATTCCGGTTGTCAGTATCTGTTTTAATTAGTTCGTGGTCCCTGGTGGACAGGGTGGAACAGCTGTTTTTGTGGTGGTGATTCTATGGCCTGTGAGAAGACTTGGAGTTCATTTAAGGAAGGAAGAGAGGGGTGTATTCTTACTTGACTCCTGAATTATGTTTCGGAAGGGTTGCTATTGCCTGTCACCTTTGTCTAATCCTGTGTGGTGACTTTCCTCAGATTAAAAATTCTGGTGTTTCTTAGAAACATGTTATACCAAGTTGGGCTGCATAACTCACCTTTATTTTTTTCCTTCCCTTGCCTTTATTCCCTTTTTTGCTTTTCTCCTCCAGCTGTGCTTCCTGTGTCTTCAGCCTTGAGTGTCACTGCTGCCTCAGGGCAGCCTGTGCCAACCCTTCCCCCCCCTTGCTCCCTGCCCCCACAACAGCACCCTCTGACAACCCCTAACCAGCCTACCCCATTCCTTTCTCCCTCTGCTATTGCCTCTACCCCCTTTGAAGCTCCTTTTCCACAGGCATCTTCTGGGACAGCCCTGCCCTTGGGAGCTGCCCCTACGCTCCCTGACCCCCCAGCTTTCCTACCAAACCTAATAGGGCCTCCCATCTCCCCAGCTGCCTTAGCTCTGGCCTCTCCCATGATAACTCCAACTCTGAAAGGTGCCCATCCCTCTTCAGCTCCCTTGACTCTGGTGGCCTTGCCTCCCCACTCAGTTCAGAAGAGCTCTGCTGGTCCACCTAACCCTATTAGTTCACCTCCTTCAGCTGCTGTGGCTAAGTCAGGGTCCGTGACACCACTGTCAGCTCCCATTGCTTCCTCAGAACCAAAGACCTCTCCTATTCAAGCTCCCTCTCAAGTAGTCCCTAATCCAAAAGTTACCCCCATTCCTCCATGTACGGCCAGTGCTGTTCCTTCCCAGCCTTTAACTCCCTTGGCCTCTTCTGTTCAATCTGGATTAGCCTCCTGTGCTCAGACACCACCCACTACTCCCCTAGCCATCACCTCCCCTCAGGTCAAAGGCATACCTATTTCCTCAGCTCTGGCTTCTCCACAAAACCCTGTAAGCCTCAGCCTAAAGGGACCCCTTACTCCACCTGCTGCCTTACCTCTTTCAACCCAGTCTGTTCCTATGACTCCCAGTGCCCCCCCAGTTTTCCTCACTCCTATGGGCTCTCATCTTGTACCTTTACATCAGAGTTGTCTTGGTTCTCCTGTCCAGTGTGTAGGTCAAACAGGCCCTAATGTTCTGTCCGATTCTATAGTGGATACCATTTCGGTACACCACTCTTCCCTAGGGGCCTCTTGCCCTTCTCAGCAATCTGTAATTTCTCCCCCTCCTTCCAGAAATGAGGTGGCTCCTGCTGCTGTGGCTGCCTTTCCAGTGGGGGCTCCAGCTTCCTCTCTGCCTCTGTCGGTTGATAAGGGACTCTCTGCCATCACTAGTGTAGCCTCCTACAGCTCTTCTGGTTCCTCAGCTGTCTCTTCTCCCTTATCTCCTACAGCCCCTCTCACCCTCAAAGGCTCTCCTAATGCCACTCATCAGCCACCCTTAGAGGCCCAGATGCCTCCTGCTTCTCCAGGAAGTCCAGGCTTGAAAAAAGCTCCTGTTTCTTCTGTTGGAATTACCTCACTTGTGATGACTGACCCCTCTACAATTTCTGCCACACCTACCACCTTTGAGGTAGTAAATGCTACTTGTGTGTCTCCTCCAATTTCATCAGGTCTCATAAGTAATAACTCAGCTTCCCATACTGCCTTGGTTATGGCACCTGTGGCTCCCAAAGAGCTTCCTTCTCCTTGGGCAACAACTGCTCTGGGGATACCAGGCTCCCCTCCTCTGCCAGCACCTGCGGAGCTCAAAAGTCTCCCTGCTTCACAACTGGTCAAGTTCCCAACACAGAAAGATCACCAAACTGTCCCTGCCTCTCCTGTAGGAACCCCTATTTCACCAGCTCAGGCAGGACTCCCTACCAAGAAAGACCCTATTGTACTACCATTGGCGCTGGCAGCCCCTCAGAATCCTCCCACTCCCCAAAGTACATCTTCTCTGGAAATATCTCTCTGTGCTGAAGTCACCTTAGCAAGCAAAAGCCAAGTAGAGCCTCTGCCTGTAGGTAAGCCAGCTGCTGCTACTCCCTCTCCTCTGGGTGCTATTTCCCCAGCCTCTCTAATCAAGACAGATCCTTATGCAAGTCCAGACCCTACCAGTGTGCTTCTCAAAGGTTCTCTTCCTACCCCAAGTGTAGCTACATTTCCTTTGGAAAGTGCTGCCACTTCTGGGGGGACTCCTACAACTACCAAAGGAACCTCCACTCCTACAACAACAGCCAGCCCTTTTCTAGAAGGAACTGTCTCTCTAGCACCTAAAAGCCACCCAGCCAAGAAGGGTACTTCTGCTCTTACTGCTTTACCTTTGGTTCCTCCCACCTCTGAAAGTTGTTCTGTGGCTCCAGCCATGACATTATCCCCACAGAATGTTACTTCTCCAGCTTCTGTGGCACTGTCTTCTGAAATTCCCAAATCAGAACCCTTTCCCTCTCTTCCCCCAGCTGGTAATCCTCAAGTTACAAAGATAGGTCATAGTGTTTCTCATAGCTCAGCATTGGCATTTGTGGCCTCCTCTCCTGAAGGATGCCCAACTGAGGATGTTGGTGCTTCTGTTGCTGCATTTTCCAAAGGAACTTACCTAGCTGAATCCCCATCTTCTTTAGGGACTAGTGTGTCTCCTCAGACTGGAGGACCTCCAACCAAGAAGGGTTCGGCTACTTCTACTACCTTAACTCTTGCCCCCTCTGTTTCTAAAAATGTAGCCGCTGTCTCTGATACTCCTGCTGGCAATCTCTCATCTCCTGTTTCTCGAATTGAAGCTTCCTTTCTTCCAGAGGCCAGTTTTTCTTTTCAAGTCCCTGAGGAATCACTAACCAAGAAGCATTCCTCCACTCCTCCATCCCCCAAAGGGGCCCCTACTTCCCCAGCTGCTGTCTCCTCATCCCCCAAAGGGGGGCCAGCAAAACCATCCCCTAAAGAGACTCCTCCTCCTCCAGCTATTACTCCTTCCTCTCCCAAAGGAGCCCCAGCTACCCCACCTCCCAAAGGGGCCTGTACTCCCTCAGCTATGGCTCCTACCTCCCCAAAAAGGGGCCCAGCAACCTCATCTCCTAAAGAGACTCCCAAACCCCCAGTTATGTCCCTTCCTTCCCCTAAAGGGACCTCAGCAACTTCATCCCCCAGAGAGTCCCCAGCTGCCCCATTCACCAAAGGGACCTCAGCAACTCCATCTCCCACAGGGCCTGTAGCTATGCCACCCCCCAGAGAGTCTCCAACAGCCCCAGCCTCCAGAGGGGCCCCAGCAATCTTATCCCCCAAAGAGCCCTCAGATACACCAGCCCCCAAAAGGGCTTCAACAACTCCATCCTCTGAAGAGCCCTCAGCTGCCCCAACCCCCAAAGAGGCCCCAACAACTTCATCCCCCAAAAGAACCCCAACCCCCAAAGGGGCCCCAACAACTCCATCTCCCAAAGAGCCCTCAGCTGCCCCAACCCCCAAAGAGGCCCCAACAACTTCACCCCCCAAAAGAACCCCAGCCCCCAAAGGGGCCCCAACAACTCCATCCCCCAAAGAGCCCTCAGCTGTCCTGGCCCCCAAAGGGGCTCCAGCGGCTCCATCTCCCACAGAGTCCTCAAGTACCCCAGCAACTCCATCCCCCAAAGAGCCCTCAGCTGCCCCAGCCCCCAAAGAGGCCTCAGCAATTCCATCTCCCAAAGAACTCTCGGATACCCCAGCAACCCCAGCCCCTAAAGAGCCCTCAGCTGCCCCAGCCCCCAAAGGGGCCCCAACAACTTCATCCCCCAAAAGAACCCCAACCCCCAAAGGGGCCCCAGCAACTCCATCCCCCAAAGAGCCCTCAGCTGCCCCAACCCCCAAAGAGGCCCCAACAACTTCATCCCCCAAAAGAACCCCAGCCCCCAAAGGGCCCCCAGCAACTCCATCTTCCAAAGAGCCCAAAGGGGCCCCAGCAGCTCCATCCCCCAAAGAGCCCTCAGCTGCCCCAGCCCCCAAAGGGCCCCCAGCAGCTCCAGCCCCCAAAGAGCCCTCAGCTGCCCCAGCCCCCAAACGGGCCCCAGCAGCTCCATCCCCCAAAGAGCCCTCAGATACCCCAGCCCCCAAAGGGTCCCCAGCAACTTCATCCCCCAAAGGAGCCCCAGCAACTCCATCCCCCCAAGAGCCCTCAGCTGCCCCAACCCCCAAAGAGGCCCCAACAACTTCATCCCCCAAAAGAACCCCAGCCCCCAAAGGGCCCCCAGCAACTCCATCTTCCAAAGAGCCCAAAGGGGCCCCAGCAGCTCCAGCCCCCAAAGAGCCCTCAGCTGCCCCAGCCCCCAAAGGGCCCCCAGCAACTCCATCTTCCAAAGAGCCCAAAGGGGCCCCAGCAGCTCCAGCCCCCAAAGCGCCCCCAGCAACTCCATCTCCCAAAGAGCCCAAAGGGGCCCCAGCAGCTCCAGCCCCCAAAGCGCCCCCAGCAACTCCATCTCCCAAAGAGTTCAAAGGGGCCCCAGCAGCTCCAGCCCCCAAAGAGCCCTCAGCTGCCCCAGCCCCCAAAGGGCCCCCAGCAGCTCCATCTTCCAAAGAGCCCAAAGGGGCCCCAGCAGCTCCAGCCCCCAAAGAGCCCTCAGATACCCCAGCCCCCAAAGGGGCCCCAGCAACTTCATCCCCCAAAAGAACCTCAGCTCCCAAAGGGGCTCCAGTAACTTCATCCCCAAAAAAAACCCCAGCCCCCAAAGGGGCTCCAGCAGCTTCATCCCCCAAAGAGCCCTCAGATACCCCAGCAACTCTATCCCCCAAAGAGCCCTCAGATACCCCAGCCCCCAAAGGGGCCCCAACAACTTCATCCCCCAAAAGAATCCCAGCCCCTAAAGGAGCCCCAGCAGCTCCATCTCACAAAGAGCCCTCAGATACCCCAACCCCCAAAGGAGTCCCAGCAACACCAACTCCCAAAGAGCCCTCAGCTTCTCCAGCCCCCAAAGTGGCCCCAGCAACTCCATCTCCTAAAAGAACCCCAGCTAAAACTCCATCCCCCAAAGAGGTCTCAGCTACACCAGGCCCCAGAGTGGCTTCTACTCCTTCACCTGTGACTCCTCCAGGCCCCAAAGAGCTCTCGGCTACCCCAGCCCCCAAAGGGACCCCATCAACTTCATCCCCCAAAGAGCTCTCGGCTACCCCAGCCCCCAAAGGGACCCCATCAACTTCATCCCCCAAAGAGCCCTCAGCTGCCCCAGCCCCCAAAGGGGCCCCAGCAACTCCATCTCCTAAAAGAACCCCAGCTAAAACTCCATCCCCCAAAGAGCCCTCAGCTGCCCCAGCCCCCATAGGTGGCCCAGCAATCCCATCCTCCAAAGAGTCCCCTGCTTTACCAGTTCCAGTCACATGTCCCTTGGGATCCACTGCCCCTCAGGCATCTAAAGGGCTCCCAGTAAAGGAAGGCTCCACAGCTCTCAAAGCAGTACTTACTGGCCCAGCTTCAGAAAATGCACCAGTCATCATAGCTCCCACTCAGAAAGGTCCACCAGCCAAGAAGAAGAGTTCACCTCCTGTGTGCTCAGATCCCTCAGCCAAGAATGGTACTAAAGGACCCCTTTCTGCAGTGGCTCCTCCAACCCCTCTACTGGCAGTCTCCACTCAGAAAGGCACTTCTCCAAAGGGTCCCTTGGCTCCTCCTCCAAAGTCTGAGACATCTACGCCTCTAGCAACAGCGGCTTCTGAGAAGGTCCTTCCTAAAGCTGGATCAGCACCTGTCTCTCCAGCACCCACCCCAACAGTCTCTCTGCCTCTTGCTCCCTCCCCAGTTCCCCCTCTGCTTCCTAAACAGCAACCTCTGCCGTCCTCACCTGGGCTGGTGCTGGAATCATCCTGTAAGCCCTCAGCCCCCGCTGATGAGGATGAGCTGCCGCCTCTGATTCCCCCGGAACCAATCTCGGGGGGAGTGCCTTTCCAGCCGGTCCTCGTCAACATGCCCACCCCCAAACCTGCTGGGATCCCTGCCCCAACCCCCTCTGCCAAGCAACCTGTTCTGAAGAACAACAAGGGTATTTGCCTTGGTTTGCTGTGTGCATGGTGTGTCGCCCACACTCCTCCTGGGGGCTACCCACCATTACTAACCCTAGGATGCGCCACTTTCTCCAGAATATCTGCTTGTGTTTGAAAATAGAATTAGAATGATCATTTTAAGTGCAAAAGCTCTAGGAATGTAGAACAATCTTGGTTTTCATCATTTCAGATAGTCCATTGTGTATCATCTTGTGTAATGGGGATCCAGACTAACCCTGAGTTTCCATCATTTTACCTAACTGATGTGATGTTGAAAACCAAAGACCTTCTAGATCTTAATCTGCTCTAATTTCTACCACATCACTAACCTTGTCCCTGGGCCTGGGATTTGCTAAAATATTGGGAAGCTATTGAATATTGGAACTATTTGAATTTCTGTTCACTTCTTGGAATTAGTAAGGACCAGTGCCCAGGGACTTCCTTTGTTTAAAAGACCTATTTTTCCTAGTCTGAGAATGGTGTAGGTATATGCTTTTTTCCCTCAGTAGTCTATTGTGCTTGGCCTTTCAATTGAGGAAAACTTAAAATATATGAATTATGTTTGAAAGAAATGGGAGAGGTCACAGGACGATAACTAGTAAAGGTGACTATTGGAACTGTAGGTTGGCATCATTGAGAGAATCTTTAGTACTATTTATTAGATCAAATTGCTGGGGTCAGTGGCTTGAAAATAAGGCTAACTGTGTGTACATAACTGCTTCTGGCCTCCCCAAACGCAGTTTAAAGGATAAGGGGAAAGTTCCCTTCCTCATCTGCTGCCACAATGTGAAAGTGTTTTTCACTTCCGTGTATCTGCAGACACCTTGTCTGCCAGAACCTTTCTGGGATGGTTGGGCTATTGGATAGTGGTTGGAGTTACATAGGTCATTGGTGTTCGCCTATGCGAAGAAGTGAAGGCCTTGAGGGAAATGAAGCAGTTATAGTATATAAACTGTTCAGCTGAATCTAGTAATTACCTCTCATTTCTGGGGCTGGGTCTTTAAGAATGTATACACACTAGTTTGTGACTAAGTAGGGGGCTATCAAGCTGACTTTATACAAGTCAGTTGGTTTACATTTAACTTTACGAGGTTTAAAATAAGCCAGTGACCTCTAGTCCAAGCAGGCCATGGTGTGGCAAGCCTCCTTTTAATCTCCACTGAAAATTACTAAAAATTATTTTGCCTCCTAGGGTCTGGAACAGAGTCTGACAGTGATGAATCAGTACCAGAGCTCGAAGAACAAGATTCCACACAGGCAACCACACAACAAGCCCAGGTAGGTATTCTCTTACTCATTGGTATAAATACTTGGAATAAGGAAGCACTGCAGAACCAGGGTTGACCAGAGAAGATGACTTACATATCTGGAGCTGTAAACTTTCATAAAGGGAAAACCACAGGGGGATTGTGGAATCCAAGTCTTACGTTTCAGCTTACTGTTTTATTTTAGCTGGCGGCGGCAGCTGAAATCGATGAGGAACCAGTCAGTAAAGCAAAACAGAGCCGGAGTGAAAAGAAGGCACGGAAGGTAATACTTTAAGTTATAAACAAGGACTGGTGCCCAAGGACTTCCTTTTTTTTTTTTTTTTTTTTTTTTGAAAGACCATTTCTGATGAAGCAGCTTCAGAGGAACAGACTCTGGGTGGGAGTAGAATTGTGTTTAGTTAAAGTAACAGAAGCTGTTGTGGCAGGAAACCCAGAAGTCCTGGGAATCCATTCTGTATTCTTACATAAACTTTTCTTAGCCCAGAAAAAGACTTTCTTTTGGATGTGGTATTACTGTGGTCCTTACTTCCTGGCGCTGCTTCTAAAAAATTTGAAAACCTGATGTTCTTTTGTTCCTTAGGCTATGTCCAAACTGGGTCTTCGACAGGTTACAGGGGTTACCAGGGTCACTATACGGAAATCTAAGAATATCCTCTTTGTCATCACAAAACCAGATGTCTACAAGAGCCCTGCTTCAGATACCTACATAGTTTTTGGTGAAGCCAAGGTAAGGAAAGTTTTCATGGGAATTGCTCTAGACCAGGGTTTCTCAAGCTCAGCACCATTGATATTTTGGGTCAGTAATTCTTTGTTGTGGAAGGGCTGCCCTATGCATTATAGATGTTTTATTTAGCAGGATCACATCCAGTTGTAATTTTAAAAAAGCAAAAACTAAAAAACTCCAGATATTGGACAGATATCCCCTCCAGTTGAAAATCACTGCTTTAAACATAAGCTACTTCTACAGTGATCTGAGTGAGGGCAAACTATTTAAAGCTATATAGCTATAGTAAGTTAACCTGAAGTGAGTTTAGAGTGCAAGTTTGGAAAATATGTAAATGATTTCTTTCACTTACTACAGACAGATCTGTTCATATGCATCTCTTATTTTCTGTTCTACAGATTGAGGATTTATCTCAGCAAGCACAGCTAGCAGCTGCTGAGAAATTTAAAGTTCAAGGTGAAGCTGTCTCAAACATTCAAGAAAACACACAGACTCCAACTGTACAAGAGGAGAGTGAAGAGGAAGAGGTATATAAGGAAATCTTTTATACTTTTAATTCTCTCCAGGTAGTATTATGTTTGTATTGATGGGTGGGTTCTATATTGTTTTACTCTCTTAAGTCCCATTGAGTGAAATAGTTTTTGAGTTAAGACTGACTCCAACAAACTATACTGAAATTGTTCTTGCCTTTAGTTTATTACGTGTGTTTTTCCCTCTCTCTCAGGTTGATGAAACAGGTGTGGAAGTTAAGGACATAGAATTGGTCATGTCACAAGCAAATGTGTCAAGAGCCAAGGCAGTCCGAGCCCTGAAGAACAACAGTAATGATATTGTAAATGCTATTATGGTAAGTGTCCAAGCCTTGATTCCTGACTCCCTGGAGTGACCTGACCAATTATGGGTGACTTGATTTTCTTATGTTTATTATCAGCCAATTAGGAAACCTCATTCCAAAGCCTGTCTTGAGTTGCCTTAAATTTTAGTGACCTGAATTCTGTCAGTTTGCCTATTATACCTCTGATTATCTCTTTTCTCTTACAGGAATTAACAATGTAACCATCTAAAAAGGAAGACCCTTTTTTGTGTGTTTCAAAAGAGTTACTGCAGCTTGGTTTGAAATTTGTACTGTTTCTATCATTAATAAAGTTATGGCTTCTTGTGGGATGAACTCAGTGGGTGCTTGATCTCTTCCCCCCAGAAAGCAAAAAGACTGTAGAAATGAAAGCACATTTATTACTCTTAAGACCTCAGCTTCAGTTGAAAAGATTTAATGCCACAGATTACCCCTTAAAATCTCAGCCTTTTCCTTTCTGGTAAGAAGGAAAGTATTGTATGTACTAGGCTATCTGTTAAGACCTTTTTTTCTTCTTTTTTTTTATCTTTATTGTTGAAAGTATTACATATGTCCTCTTTTATCTCCCATTGACCCCTTATAGCTCACCACAGGCCTTTGCCACCCTATTGTCTAGGACCTTCTTGCCTTCAGAGACTACAACTTAATTGTTATATTTCTTGTTTTCAGTTTCTTTCCCAGATGTTAAGCATTATCATATGCTGATTCTTCTTTATTTAATAATCAGCTCCTTCTCTAACCTACAGTCTTTCTGAACACTTTGGACCTTTTCTTTCCTTTATGAGAGGCAGTGCACATTGGTTACATTTTGACATGTAAGAGCTTGATAGAGGATTGGAGAGATTGCATCATGGATGTGATGAAAAGACCACACTTTGTAGAACATCAGAAGCTACCTTATGAAGGGAAGGATTTTGATTATTATATACAATGCAAACACTCTGCTCTCTCACATTTTAATCTGCAAAGTAAATTATGATTAGGGTAGCCTTAATCATGCTAAGACAATGAGTGAAAACCAGAACTGTACCAGGCAAACGTACATGTGATTACCCAGTTTATGATAAATATAGTGCTATAGAAGTCCTAAGAAGAGTAAAGTTAAACTTTCTGGGTTTAGGTTGTAATATGGTCTGGGGTAAAGCAAGGAACTAAAATTTGGGAATAGTAAGGCTATAAGTAATTTAAAGGAAGAATCTAAAATGAATAAGTGATACACCTAGAAGGAATGTTAGAAAGGAAGATTACCATCATGGAAGATTTTTGGATCTAAAACTTAGAGATATTTTATTGAATCCAGTCTTCTCGGTTTCTATGAGAGTATTATTTTAGTGATGTGAAAGTTAAGTACCAAAGAGGTTAAATAACTTCCCCAAAGACAGTCACTAAAAGTATTATATGTACCTTTTCTTTGTGGCAGGCTATCCTGGAGAAGCACAAATTGACTTCTGACTGGGAATGATGCCCTGCTTCCATTTCACTGGGATAGAACAGATTAGTTTTATTAGGCTAACAATAGGCCCCTAGGCTGTCAAGTCTGAGACAGCCAGTAATTCTCACTTCAGGAAGAAACTTAGGGATACTGTATTAACTCAAAATTTCCTCATCCTTCCTTCTGTACAGTTAACAAACTGCCAATTCTTGGTTACTTTTTTAGAGAATTGTATTGTTCAAGGCTATTACAGCCACCAGTGCTGTAGTTCTGTTTCTTCCCACCTCAAGGACCTTGCTATTGCTAACCCTTTCTACCATTGATTCCTTTCCCTTCACCATTTTTCCCACCATCCTTGAAATGTACAACTAACTTTCTTTGTCACAGAATGATTATGGGGTGTATAGGTTAAACCTTTTGACGAGGAATTACTCCTTCCTGGTTCTCAAACTGATTAAATACCTGTGTTCAAATATTCGGTAGACCATTTAACAATGATACCTTAACGTCTGGCTTCAGCTATAAAAATAGGCCTACTACAAAACATATAGGATTGTTGAAAGTATTTGCTAAGAATCTGAAACTTGCCAAAACCGGTTTGGCTCAGTGGATAGAGCGTCGGCTTGCGGACTGAAAGGTCCCAGGTTCGATTCCGGTCAAGGGCATGTACCTGGGTTGCGGGCACATCCCCAGTAGGGGATGTGCAGGAGGCAGCTAATCGATGTTGCTCTCTCATCGATGTTTCTAACTCTCTATCTCTCTCCCTTCCTCTCTGTAAAAAATCAATAAAATATATTTAAAAAAAAAAAAAAAAAAGAATCTGAAACTGGCACAGGTTTACTAAGTGACCCTTATTTTTTAGGGGGGGGGCGGGGAATGTAGTGGACCAGTTTTAGTTCCTTAGCTATATTCTCACCATGTTTCTACCACTCAATTAAAAATTGATTTTTAAAATTATTAAATATTTGAAAGCATGTCTTCCTGCAAATTGCTTTTCACTTCAACTTTATTTCCAAGAACTATCAATGGAGATAGATGTAGTTTTTTCCATTACCTATCCAATCCACTGTAGTCTGGCTTTTAACCTTTACCTCTCCACCAAATGAATAGTTCTCATCAAGGTCACCTAGTTGCTAATTCCAGGGGACACTCTTCATGCATGGCTACATTTGTCTTTTCCTTCCTCAACTTAGTGTCTTTAACATCATTCTTGGTTTCTCTCAAATCTGATTCATTTGATATCCACAAAATTAGTTCCATTATCTACCCCATATAAATTTTTCCATATATATTTCCTGCTAACATGAACGACACAGCTATCCATTTGGTCATACAAAAAGGAAACCTAGTCTTTGGAACTAACGATGTTGGGGAAATGATATCCATGAGTAAAAGAATGAACTACAAGTGGATCAAAGACATAAAACCATAAAACTCAAGAAAATTGGAAAAGCTTCATGTCATTAACACCAAAAATAGGCAACAACAACAAAATTGGATTTCACCAAAATTTATATGTCAAAGGACACAAGTCAACAGTAATAAGGCAACCCACAGATTGAAAAATACTTGGCAATAAGGGATTAATATTCAGAATATATAAAGAACAAAACATTTAAAAATGGGTCAAGGACTTAAAATGTACCACTCGTTCATTAGAAAAATGACTATCAAAATATGAGTTGCCCAGCCAGTGTGATTCAGTGGATTGAGCACTGTCCTGTGCACCAGGATGTCATGGTTTAATTCCAGTCAGGGCACATGCCAAGGTTGTGGGCTCAATCCCCAGTAGGGGGCGTGCAGGAGGCAGCCAGTGAATGTTTTGAAATCAATAAAAACATTTTTTTAAATGAGTGTTGGTAAAGATGTAAAATTAGAACCTCTGCACTGTTGATGGGAATATAAAGTGGTGCAGCTGCTATGGAAAGCAGCATGGGAGTTTTCAACAATTACCATGTGATCTAGCAATTCCACTTCTGGGTGTGTGGGTTTTTTTAATGTTTTATTGATTTCAGAGAGGAAGGGAGAGAGTGAGAGAAACATCAATGATGAGAGAGAATCACTGCCTCCTGGACACCCCACAAAGGACTGACCCTGCAACCCAGGCATGTGCCCTGACCCAGAATCAAACCGTGACCTGGTTCATAGGTCAGTGCTCAACCACTGAGCCACACCAGCCAAACCACTTCTGGATATTTAATTGAAAGCCTCAGAGATGTGTACACCCAATCAGCATTATTCACAGTAGCCAAAAAGTAAAAGCAACGTAAGTGCTCCTCACAGAGGAATGAATAAACAATGTGTGTGTATATATCCTATATAATAAAAGGCTAATATGCAAATAGACAAAATGGCCAAACAACTCGTTGCTATGAGGTGCGCTGACCACCAGGGGGCGCACATGGAACATGGTGGGCATCACTGTGGTGGGCCAGTGGAGCAGGTGAACAGGGACACCAGACCAAGGCAGAACTCAGGTTACTGTCATCAGGGCAAGCCTCTGATGGTTACTGAAAATTCTTTGCTCCTGTGTGCCACGATCCTGCCCAGCACTCGCACCTGCTGCCAGTGCAGGAGCCACTGCTCATACCCACTGCTGGCGCAGGCCCCAATCGTCCCTCTGGGGTTCCCCACCTCCCCCTGTTCCTAAGGGGTGATGGGGGCAGCAGCCACTGCTCGCACCTGCTGCTGGCGCTGGCCCAAATTGCCGGAAGCCAGTCCCTCCTTGCTGCTTGACACAGTCGCTGCAGGAAAGAAACATCTGCACAGCATATGTTTCAAGGGACCTGGCATATATAGCATACTGTTCTTAATATGTTTGCTCCCCTTAGCGCTGTGTGTTTTAACCAAGGTCACCTCTCCGAGAAAGGTTGTTTCCCCAGGTAGGAATTTTTCCCTGAAGTCAGGGAGGGGATGCCTCTCCTAGAAAGGTTGTTTCCCCAGGTAGGAATTTTTCCCTGAAGTCAGGGAGGGGATGAAACTCCTTAACTAAGTGCCAGGCGGGTAGTTAATCACTACAAACAATCATGCTTAAGCTACATAATCTTTACTCCCTAGAATGGAGATAAGAAACGCCCTAACCTTTGTAATAGAAATTGACAGGATTAAAATCAACTGGGATAAATACGGATGTAACAAGACAATAAACAGCAGAACTTCGCTGGAGATCCAGACCAGAACTTGGCTGGAGATCCTGGCTAGAGATCCTGGCTAGGCTGCTGATCAACTGAACGCTGTCTCCGTGTCCTTCCTTCTTCGCCGACTCTGTCTACGCCTTTGGGAACCCCTGGACCTGCTGGGGTTGGACCCCAGCATCTGGCGCCCGAACAGGGTTCCCTTAGGTAAGTCCCCCTGTACTTGGGACGGATAGGACTGCACCGTAGGGTGCTGCAGACCCCCCCCCCCCCCATAGAGAATAAGTAGGGTAAGCGGGTAGTTAGTACAGAACTTAGATTGACAAGATGGGTCATACTGAGTCTAAAGAAAAAAGACTCTGTATTAATCTTTTAACGCATATGCTTACTAACAGAATTGGAGTTGAGGTTTTTCCCAGTGAGACAGAAAGTTTTATAGAAGAAGTATGTCAATGGCTTCCAGAGGATGGAACTGTTAATTTAAAAACTTGGGTTGAAGTAGGAAAGCAATTAAAGAAACACCATGAATCTGACAAGGTCCTGCCATGTTTCTTTTCCCTCTGGGATTCAATCTGTGACACCTTGGCACCAGAGGCAAAAACGGTTGAACTTTCTCAAAATTCAAATAGTCCCTTGGCTCCACCCAGAGAGGACACATCATCATTGTCTTCAGCTCAATCTAAAAGCAATTTAGCTATGCCTACTGATCGGGAGGAGAATAAATATCATAAACATGACCATTGTTCCTT